TCCTTCAGGGAAATTCTGGTTCCAGTAGCTTATGAAGAGTACAAAAGACAATAAAGACACAATATGAAAAGAGTGTATATGGTACAGATGTATATGTTTCCTTTAGATATAAAGAGTAAAGACTACACAGTAGTTGACTTGGATTATTGCACTTGCACTGCAGATAAGTGCTGACCATATAGATGAGTTAAAAAGGTCTGAGTATAAGTAAAAAGATTACACAGACTACACAGTAGTTGGCACGTGTTATTGTACAGTGAGAAAGAAGAATTTTGCACATGTTTCCATCTTCCTATCACCTTCTCCTTCCTCCAACTGAGGAGTTTTCCAGTATGAACAAACCTGCAGGATATCCAAAACCGGAGAACTGAACACAGCTTTACATTTCCAGCTGATATGAGTCTAACATGGCAATATTTTCACAGACAGACAGAAGCCGGCTCTCGTCTTCCCGTTGAAGCTTTGGTCAAATTATGAATGAGCTGCTGTAATGAATTCTGCCACCAGATGTCCCCGTTTATCCTAAGCGTGAAGCCCCAAGCATCAAGTCATTTTCAGAGCAAAAATACCTTTAAAGGCTTTTTTCTGAACTCCCAACAACTGATGTCAGAAAGACCTAGACAGACATTTAGGCAGAATCGTTGTTTTAAACATTTACAAGAACTTCAGAATTAGAATATAATACTTATAATTGTGAATTAAAAGAAATGAGCCTGGAATTGACAATGAAAGTGCTTTTTTTCTTGGAAATAAAGACATAATACAAGACATCCTAAATGTATATTTAATCATTTGAAACCATGTAAATTTTCAGTGAACACATCAATATATTAAAAGTCATTTTTACAGTTTTTCTAAGAAATACTTAAAGCTACGTTAAAGCACTCTTGAAGTGTTTCTATTTACGGGATATTTTCATGAAGTTCAAGACGGATGCACAACATTATTTTTTATGTATGTTGCCAAGAACATGGCATGGAGATTTTAGATATTCAGTCTGTTTGGCTCATATATCCATTAGCTTTAAATTCAAGAGCCAACAACAATGTGAT